AACATAAAGCATACCTGTCCACCAGATTGGCTGCCTCTTGAAGGTGAACCCTGTAAAATGGTTATATTTTTATTTATATGATCATCTTTAAATTTGACTTGTCTGTTTGACCAAAATATATTATCTTTTACTCTACAAACTGTGTTTGAAATAATCTATAAGATTATGAATCTACTCGTCTACAGAAAAAAAAAAAAAAAAAAAGAACAAAAAATTGGGCATTATCAATTCTACAATATTTTCTTGAAACATGTACTGGGGGAGATTAAAAAAAAATAAATTTCCCACCTGCCCACCATACTGGTTGGTTCCTGATGAGAACGAGCCCTGAAAAAAATAAAAATATTTACTTTCTATGTTAAAGATGCACATTATAAATAATATTTATTACTTTCATTTGTTTCTTAACATCAGAATGGCATTCATTCCATGTTAGCATTTTGAACACTCTGCTTACACTTGGATATATATATAAAGCTATACAAGGAAGAAGTATTTAAACACCAAAAACAAAAAAAATATATTTCTCATAAAAAATTTTCTGTAATGCAGAATAATCTTTTTATGTGTGTGTGCAACAGATAGTTCAAGTGAAAAATACAGAATGTTAGTATTTACCTGTCCACCAGAATAGCCACCACCTTGAGAAGATAATCCCTGCAAAAATAGACCCTATTTATTTCTGTTCATAATGGCTTCTAGAAAACAAGACTGTGTTGCTGAATACTTGTATACACATTTTTATAAAATAGTTTTTCATAAAATTTATCATTTCTTTCACAAGATATGATTACAGATGTCATGAGAAATTCTAGAAGTAGACAAATAGGCATAATTTACTTGTCAGGATCACTTTTAATAGAACTGCCACTTGGGGAGGGAACTGCAAATAATGAATAAAATAGATGCTTACATGTCCACCTGACTGGCTGCCTCCAGGGGAATAAAAATCCTGGAAAAATGTATTGAAAGTACATGAAAAAAAACCAAGACTTCCTTTCTTTTGTATTATGGAAAGATCATGATGGAAGCTGAATGTTCTTTCTTATGTCTCCACATTCCTTAATTTTCTCTCATGGACTGTTCAAGAAAAAGAAAAATTTCTTTCTGCATAGAACAGCACATGCCTCTTTGTCCCTGTTGTTAAATGGTCTTTTGGTGACAAGATATTTTTGGCACAATGACAATTTCTTGTACATCCATCAAAATCATTTCCCAGTCACTAAATTCTCATATGAATTAATAAAGTGAGTGCCAAGTAAAAATGGGAGGAAAATGGAAGTCCTCATAAAACAGCATGAAGCACGAGAAAGCACAGGGTTTTGCATAGAATAAATGCTGGACATGCTATAGTATGGAAGCCTTTTGCAGCAAGACCATGAGCAAAAATGCACAGGAACCTGAACAAGTAAATTGTGGCATAGTGTTTGTAGTGGTGAGTCTGAGATTCAAGAGTACACCTCAGCCATCAGCTGGGATTTTTCATAGTCCTTAGCCACTTCAACCCTAGCCTCATTCCCTCTGTGCCTTAGCTTGAGGACTTTGTCTGAAGACTGCCATATCAGCTTCCACACAAGCTGTAATTCAAGTAGCCAGTACTTGCCAGTCCTTAAAAGCATTGGGGCAGAGAACACGGTAACATGAAGAAGTGCTTACCCGTTCACTCTGACGGTTGTAAGATGGTGAGGTGGAATCCTGTAAAATATTAGAATCCAGATTTTTCATGCAAATACTTCAGTTTTGTTTACGTAGAAGGTGATGAAAACTACTGCTTTGTTTGTGTGACTTGTTGGGACAGTTAAATTTGGAGGCTGTAGGATAAGCAGCATTCTTTCACTGTCTGTTCAATTCTGGGAGTGGCATTTATTTTTTCTCAGTTAGATATTCAATACAGAGTAATAAAGAAATGAGGTCTTATTATAATCCATTGTTTTTGGTTGTTTTGTATATTGTGAGCATATACTAATGTGGAACTTTGTCAGAAAACATGAAATAAAGGAAAAGAGGTTCCCTAGCACATGCTACTTCTAATAAGCAATATAAAAAAAAATGTATGATTGTTACAAATCAGAACTGTTGTAAAGTTCATGTGTCAAGTCCTTAACATACTTTAAAATAAGAAAAAGACATAAAAGAAAATGGAATTCTAAATAATCTATAGAGACAATAATTATTTCAAGAAGTTCTTACAGAAACTTACTAATCAACACAGATTATTAGAATATGCTGTAAAAGAACTCTTGAAGGTTATGAGATAGGTAAAAGTCCACATAAGCACCTAGTGAATTCAAAAAGCAGTAAATTTTGAGATTGATTTACTTGAGTAGGATTGCTTACACTGTAATCAGATTCACTAACTCCCATGGCAGGTGAATCCTGCAAAACAGTAGAAACACGTTAAAAGAAAATTAAAAGATACACTGCTTTACCTGCTGCTTAAACAGAGAAGGTTAAGAAACAACAATAACACACGCATACAAGAACAGGATAAAACCTTCTTGTCAATATGTTCTCTTTCAGGAAACATTTTAGATAAAGTTGATTTGTGAAATAAACTATTCTTTACATTCAAAAAACTCATTTTCTATGATTTGTTTGTAGGATCTACAATATAAGTAGCAATAAAAAAAATCTTTTCAAGAAAAACACCTAGATTATGTCTTATTTTTAAATAAATGATTTTACATGTCTTTGGGTGGTTAAAATGTATTGCTTACCAAAAAAAAAAAAGTAGTCCCTACGAAATGGTTTTATAATAAAGTCCACATCAATAAATACAGACTTATAAACAGTATGTCCATTCCCCTTGGGCTTCTGCACAATATGGTGTATCAAGTAAATTCACAAATTAATTTTTGCTTTGAATGAGCTGATGCAAAAACATTAAGACAAAAAAAAAAAAGTAGTAATAAGAGGACTGACAGTAGCATATTAAGGAGGAGAGTGCATATAGCATATAGTGCACCACCTTTCCTCCCTTATTGAAAATATTAGGAGTTGTAGATAAGTAAATCAAAGTAAAAGAGAAACAGAAAGTATCAGACAGTCATCGCTAAAAATAATTGAAATTCAGAAGGCAGTACACGTAAGAACCAGCAACCAACCTTCAGCTTTTGATGCATAAAATAAATTATATTTACCTGACCATAAGGTCCAATGCCACCATATGCAGAAGATCCATCCTGTTCAGATAACACAAATCATTTTCATATTGCAAACAGAGATTTCATTGTAGAAGCATACAACCGTAGGCATCTTTTTCTGGGGAGATTTAAAATCTACAAATACTTACTGAGTTCTCAGAATGCATATTGAGCAACTCAGTCATATATCCCTGTAAGAAACTAATTTTAACATACTAATTTAGCAAATTCTTCGAACTAACTGTATTTCCAATTTGGCAGAGACTTTCATCTGTCTGATAACTCAAAGTTCATAGAATGGCTTGGGCTGGAAGGAACATTAAAGGTCATCCAGTTCCAAATCCTCTGTCATATACAAAGTTAAAGTTAGTTTTGTTGTGATCAAGCTGCAACCATTGGAAGCACCTCACTTTTTGCATACTCTCCTGTAAGCTTCCAGGATATAGAGTATATGTAATTTCACTCCTTAAAAAAATATATATCTTTGTTAAAATATGAGAGCCAAAATATAGAATATATATATAATATATTTAAAAGAAAAAAAAAAAAAGAGGATTTACCTGACCATAGGATTCACTTCCGTTATCACTGACAGAAGAACCTCCCTGAACAGAAAATAAAAAGTGCAATCTTTTTAATCTCAGACTTATGGAAGTCTGCGCTGACTGGACAGTAGGACTCCATGATCTCTTTTAGTCCTTTCCAATTCTGCAATTCTATGACTTTACAAGAGAAGAAGAAATCTTACCTGTCCGTAAGATCCACCAGGAGAGTAGGAAGACCCTCCCTGTACAGAAAACAT